CCCCAATGGAGCATAGGATCTCAACCAGCTCACGCAAAGTTGTTCCATCCTTTATTTCTATGACCCTGTGGGTTCCATTGCAAAGACCTTTGCCATAATATGTATTTAATGTATTTCTTCTCAGACTAACTTGATTAAGGAAGTCCACTGCAGTATTGGAAAATGGAATATCAAGAAAATTATTTCATCTTCTTCTTCTGCCTTCTATCCCCCAATGGAGCATATGATCTCAAACAGCTCACGCAAAGTTGTTCCATCCTTTATTTCTATTACCCTGTGGGTTCCATTGCAAAGACCTTTGCCATACTATGTATTTAATGTATTTCTTCTCAGACGCACAGCTCATATGTCAACAATAATTCGCTCCCTTATCATTATTCCCTGCCCAATATACTTCCTCTATGCAATGCGCTCCGTGGAATCATTTTCCCGCGAATCTACACAAATACCTGTACTATTCCTGTTTCGTTTGTACTGACAGTAAAACTTCTATTACCAGTCAACGTGGGACTAGGGTTGTGATGGATAACCAAATATGTCCCAGTGTGGCTTTTGTTGGAACTGATCTACCACTGAGATGATATTTTCATTACAACGGTTGCAGGAAAAATGCTGCGAACAAAATCAACCACTGTATGTTGCTTTTATTGATTTACCAAGGCATTTGATTTGGTTAGTCGAAAAGGTCTGTTCAACGCACTAAAGAAGATTGGGTGTCCACCTACTCTACTGAGCATTATTGAGTCGTTCCACACGGGTATGAAAGGTACAATCAGCTTTGATGGTCTAACATCGGAGGAATTTGTAATCAAAAATGGAGTGAAGCAGGGGTGTGTACTTGCTCCCACGCTCTTTGGAATATATTTTTCACATCTTTTGACACATGCCTTTCGAGATCAGGAGGGTGGTATATTTATTCATTCTCGATCTGACAGCAGCCTTTACAAAGCACGCAGGCGGAAGGCCAAAACCAGGATAAGAAATGTACTTATCAGAGAGCTGCTGTTTGCAGATGATGCCGAAATAACCACCCACTCAGAGCAGTAGGAGAACAGAAAGCAATGTAACCTTACATCTCTCTCCCCAATACCTTGCTGAGGTAAATGGTGAAAGTGAAGAAGACAAGAGTGTTGTATTGCGGTAGAATATAAATAGCACGAAGCTGATGTTTTATTTAGTACAACAGCAGAGCAGTAGTGGTGGTATTTACTTCAGCAAGAGTAGTGGTAGCAATATCGATAGTGCTGTAAGAAATAGCAGTAGTCGTACAACTTTTAGTAGCATGGTGATATTAGTGTTGGAAGAATAGCATCATCATCATCAGCAGTAGTAGCAGCGAAGGAAGCATTATAATAATAAGAGGAGAATGAAGATAAAGAAGAAGAAGGACGAGGAGGGGCAATAGGAACAGGAGGGGAAGACCAAAACAGAAGAAGAAGAAGAAGAAGAAGAAGAAGAAGAAGAAGAAGAAGAAGAAGAAGAAGAAGAAGAAGAAGAAGAAGAAGAAGAAGAAGAAGAAGAAGAAGAAGAAGAAGAAGAAGAAGAAGAAGAAGAAGAAGAAGAAGAAGAAGAAAATAAAACAGTTTTATCTATACATAAATCTGCTCAGAAGATTAGTCAAAATAGCGTATAACATCTTCCTTCCCCTGAATCACAAGATATGTAAAAATTACAATATTTAACGCCCGTGAAGAAAGCACCAATTAGTGAGGTTCATGTGTGTTTTATTACTACAAATCAAACCAAAAAAAAAAAAAAAAAAAAAAACTGTTTTAACATGATACAGGAGTTCCGAATCTTAGATATTAGCTGCACCACAGACGACAACCATCCACAGGAAAATTATGGTATTTTGGTGACCGGAAGCTCTTGGTCAAGTTGACAGAGTCAGGCGGAGATAACTAACCAACGATGACGGTGGCTGAGTGAATAAATCTGCAAAGGAGGATACATGGAAATAAATCAGTGCAGTCAAACAAAACGAATTGATTTTTATTAGTGTAGATAATTAAAAATTACAAAGACATGCACAGAAGAACAGGTAATTTGTCGTCTACAGCATCAACAATAGGACCGCAAATAAGTTATATATATAATATATGTATATATAAAATGAGATGATATAATGAGACAATATGATACTACTGATGATGATAAAAGAAATGAATGACTTACTGACTAAACTCGTTTTCTGTGAGATGTGTGTTGTTGTCTCTGTCAGCGGCTCTGAAAGATTCCTCAACGTCTACTCTGGTGATGTTGGCGTCATCGTTCTGGTCGAACAGACCAAAGATTTGACCCTCATGACCTGGAAACAACAAGGATTTCATAAATAATATCTCCGCATATGTAATTAAAAAAAAAAATTTTTTAAAGGCTATTTATGATAAATGATTTCATATATGTTTCACCATACTAGGACATCTCAGCAAGCAATAAAAACCTGGTGACACAAAGTGCCACCATGCGGATAATGATCACCCTTGGAAAGGTCCCAGCAACTCCGTTTAATCCATAAACTGGGTTATATTAGGGCCCCCGGCAAGAAAATTCGTAGGGCTTTAAAATAAACCAAAAACTGTGTCACACATGGGGACGGCGACGATACTCATTGATAACTATTAGCAGACGAAAAAGAAATGAAAATGCATTGACAGAAAGTATCGCAAGACAATTGACAATCCATATCAGAAGGTGAAACTATAGATTCCTTCGGTCACATCATGGGACTAAGAAAAAGTTTCTCTCTCTCTGTCCGCGTAAATATATATATGTGTGTGTGTGTGTGTGTGTGTGTGTGTGTGTGTGTGTTTTGTGCCTGTGTGCGTATGAATGTGTGTGTGTGGGTCTGTGTTTGTTTCTGTATGGGTGTCTGTGTGTGCATATGAGTATCTGTATGTATTTATGTATGTATGTGTGTAGAATTTGTTTGTGTAGGTAGGTATGTATGTGGGTGAATGTGTGTGTGTGTGTGTTTGTTAATGTATGTGGGTGTATGTGGGTGTGTTTTTATGCGTGTTTGAGTAAATAGGTGGGTGTGTGTGTGTGTGTGCGTGTGTGCAATAAAGTGTGTAAGCATTTAACCACCCATGCTTTTATGTTTTTTTTTCATTTTTACAATATGTATATTATCTTATAAATATAACATGCTTATTGATAAAATACATCCGCTGTGTGAAGGGTGTTTGAAAGGGCTGAATGTAAGACAGGCCTGCGTGCCCAGTTTGTGACCTTTTGAAAAAAAGTTCGTTCGTTCGTTCGTTTGTTCTCTCTCTCTCTCTCTCTCTCTCTCTCTCTCTCTCAATATTAATACATGTCAATACATGAAAAAAAAAAACATGTAAAGCACGAATACAAGTTATTTCCAGAGGGTCACGAATTGGACATTATGACATGAACGTCAACAATAGCCAATATTAAAAAGAGACATTCTTAGAATTCGTAGTTCAATAGATCCATAGATTAGACAGAAGGGTAGTAGATATGAACACACACACACACACACACACACACACACACACACACACACACACACAAGACAATTGCCACAGCTACTATAATGTGCTCCAAAAGTCTTGCACACATTTATTAACAGTAACCGTTGGTTGTAAACTGTTAACAGTTGGCCTACAGCCTGTTAAGAATCATCTCCTTGTAGGAAAAAAATTATAATGTAAAACAAACATGTTGTATTGTCCTTTTTGCTATATGAGAAACTAAACCTACTCAAATTCACAGCATTCAATACGCGTTTGTACAGTAAGAGAGAGTACAGTAAGAGAGTGTACAATAAGAAAGTGTACAGTAAGAGAGTGTACAGTAAGAGAGTGTACAGTAAGAGAGTGTACAGTGTACAGTAAGAGAGTGTACAGTAAGAGAGTGTACAGTAAGAGAGTGTACAGTAAGAGAGTGTACAGTAAGAGAGTGTAGTGTGGGAAAAACGACGCTTCCTTCTTCGGTGGTCAGTCTTTTGCAATAGCTTCACGTGAGTTACATGAACATATTTTTTCATTACCTGCTGGATGGGCTATCAGAATAACAATCACGCACCACTGTACATGTAAAATTTTTTCCAAAAACTATGTTTTTGGCTTAAAGTAAACGAATTGTGTCAAATAATGTATATTCAATTTTTTTTATATGGTGCACAATTATTAATGTGAGAAAGATCAAAGAAATTCGCCACTGTTAGAAAAAAACAACAGAAGCACCAGTGCAATTGTAAATTACAAAATCATAAGAACAGTTAAAATCTGTGACTCAGGCTCACATTTGTATTGATGCATACAGGAATGTTGGAAATAACTGTTCAAGTTTGAGGGCATGCATTTCAGAACGGACTATACTGCTAAAGTTATTACTACTACAGTTATTGTTATAACAGTAACAGTGATAGCAGCAGTAGTAAGTAATAGTATCAGCAGCAGTAGTAACAGAGAATGCCAGAAGGCCTACAATCAGAAAGAAATATTCTATTTCAAAGTGCTCAAGCTTCGTTTAGGTGAGCAATAATAATTGTCATCATTATTATTTTTAAATGGAAAATAGGTGTGAAAGATATTTAAAATAAAAAAAAAATATGTGTTCATTACGAAATATTCTTTAGTGTGGGATTTCAAAACCTCTGCATTAAAAAAAATACCACTGGGCGGACGGTTAGAAAGAAAAAGGTGGGGTGGGTGAGGGATTTCTGATACAATAGTATGTGATAAACATTAGACGATTCCAGGTGTTGAGGGAATTCTAATAAATAACATGTAATAAACAATAGAAAATTCCAGGTGGGGAGGGGATTTTCACACAGTAACATGTGATAAACAATAGACGTTTCCATGGCCTGTCTGAGATACATGACGATGAGTGTGAGCAATGATTTACCAGGAAATAGCCATCAAACTCAACGATGAGAACTCTGTTGTCGTTATTGATGTTAATCTGTCGATAGAGGGCGTCAATTGCCCTGTTGAAGGCGCTTCCAGGTTGTCCCTGCAGGACGGCAGGCAAAAGCAGAAGAACTACGAACTTGAACATTTTCCTACACAAAAACAAAACAAAAGTCAAGTTACATCGTTGCTTTCTTGCTGTGTTTGTTAATAACATACATGGGCAATCTTATTTTTTCTCACTTCCACTTTTACTGCCTCGAGTGTCGAAGGAGATATGATGTTCTCCTTCTTGCTCTTCTTCGACTATAGACACATCGTGCTGTTGTTATGTTCATGGGCAAGGGGCGAATAGAGCCACTTGCCACTAACAAGTATGAAGTATACAAGTCGAATAACAAGGGGTTACCTCCAAAGTCGTAGTGAATCTGCTTGAGAGGCAAGGAACTTATTGTCTACATACAAAAAAGCCAAATCTGTTACACAGTCGTGTAAGGAAAACAAGTGGACAAACAACCAAATCTTTCCAGCGACGTTCACAGCTGTTGAACGACCAGACGAAGAATTTTCAAATTCTGTCCTCCTGCATGGAACACTCAAAAACAACGCCCATAGGACATCCAGAAGTAATGCCCATGGGACATCCAAAAGTAATGCCTCTGCAAAGACAGAACCTAAATATGGCAGTAGAGTGGATCATCATCATCTTCATCATCTTAAAACATTTATGCCGTAATGCTTTGTGGGGAGGAATAATTTGCCATCCACTTCACCAGTCAACTGGCTATTGTCATGCGGTAAAGGCGTAATGTAGAGTACAAAAGCATTATATAGACATCCAAATTGATATATCTGTTAACAACCTTAACCAATATGGTAAATTAAATGAAGAAACTAATATCAGATGCATTAAAGGAAATCAAGTATTTGGGCAGATAACCTCCTTTCTACAGCTCTAGACTATATCATCTGCACCACGCAACATCTCAAACAAAGCATACTAATTCACACCCTGTGCTACCAGTGCCAGAAATGGTCACTCACAACAAACAGAACAGGAAATTAGTACGGACATGAAACTGAGATGTCTGTGAAGGGCTGGACATAGAGAAAGAAACTATAAAGCGAAGTTAGAAGGATAGGGTAGACATGGGTGATCTTTATGCTTTAACACGAAAAGACTGGACTCGGCGTTGAAGGCATATGCTCTACTAGGGGATAAAAAGCAGCAGCAGAAGAAGTGGTTGTAGTGGTTGTGGTTGTGGATGTTGTGGTGATGGTAGTAGTGGCTGTAGTAGTACTAGTAGTAGTGGTGGTGGTAGTTATTAGTAGAAGTAGTAATAGTAGCGGTAGCGTTAGCAGCAGTAGCAGTACATAAAGATGTAGTACTAGTACCAAGAATACTGAAGTCAGTAACATAATTGTAGTTAAATGAAAAGCAGAAGTAGTTGAGTAGTATTAAAAATAGCAATAGTGGATGTGGTAGTAGTTGTTGCAGCACTAGTTGTAGTACTAGTATTAGTAACAAGAGCAGAAGAAGGCGGAATAATAATAGTAAGAATCAAATTAATAACAGCAGCAGTAACAATATCAGGTGAAAACCCAATAAGAAGTAAGTAAGCTGTATTTGTTGTGGTGGTAGTAGTAGTAGCTAAGGCAGCAGCATAAGTAGTAGCAGTAGTAGAAATAGTAGCAGTAGAAACAGCAGCAGCGAGAGTAGTGGAAATATAAAACCATCAGTCTAGAATGCTCACCTGTGTTAGTGATGGCTAGAACTAAGCAAGACGGAAGCCTGGGATTGAAGTGTGACCACAGTCTCCAATGTCTGAGTTTTTATCTGTTCCCTCACTCAGAAAACCGTGACCAGATTCTCACGTTTTCGGAACTACAGATAAGGGACAGTTTTACAAGTTCACACTTTGTGCAACAAATCGTGACAGTGCAAATAGGCGACTTATTTGACGTTTTTTCCCCCTTTGAAGTTGGAGTGCATCTGTCAGAAAGGCGAGAATCCTAAAGGCTGTATATAATAAAGGCATGTTTGTAAAACGAAAGTGCATACAACACACGAGACCAGAAAAAATGACATAGTCCAGATGTAAACGAAAATAGACATTCTGTAGAAGTTTGCAGCTGGTGACTGCGGAGCAAAAGAAGAAGAAGAAGAAGAAGAAGAAGAAGAAGAAGAAGAAGAAGAAGAAGAAGAAGAAGAAGAAGAAGAAGAAGAAGAAGAAGAAGAAGAAGAAGAAGAAGAAGAAGAAAAAGAAAAGAAGAAGAACAAGAAGACGAAGAAGAAGAAGAAGAAAAAGAAGAAGAAGAAGAAGAAGAAGAAGAAGAAGAAGAAGAAGAAGAAGAAGAAGAAGAAGAAGAAGAAGAAGAAGAAGAAGAAGAAGAAGAAGAAGAAGAAGAAGAAGAAGAAAAGAAGGAGAAGAAAAAGAAGAAGAAAAAGAAGAAAAAGAAGAAGAACAACGAACAAACGAACTACCCAAATAATAGATTTTCACTAATCGTCCAACAAACCATAGCTCACTTGCGTATTTAAGGACATGATTTACGTAGCTCTTAAGAATTGCCCTTCTCGTCTCAATTGACAGAGAAACATGGCCTAGAATATTCTGCATTTGATAAAATGCGTCTTCTGCTAGAGCGATTCTCCATTTAACTTCCGTAACACATCTTCCACCAGCGGCTATCAGGGTCCTGAAGTACTTTTAACGTAATCACATGACTGAAAGGAGGTCCACTTTACTGTGTGATACTACAGTTCTGGAGAATGGGATATTGAGAAAATTGTCATCATCTTTATTTTTTTCTGCCGTCTATCCCCAAATGGAGCATAGGATCTTAACCAGTTCCCGCAAGGTCGTTTTATCGTTCGCTACTGCTTGCAGACTTTGCTGTGTTTTCCCTATCTTTTAGCTTCACTCTCTAGTTCTCTTATCCTCATGTTTTTTGGGGGTCTTTCTTTATTTATGACCTTGTGGGTTCCACTGCAAAAACGTTTGCGATAGCATGTTTATAATGTATTTCCTCTCAAACACAGAGCTCTGAATATGTCGACAATAATTCGCTCCCTTATCATTATTCCCTTCCCTAAATGCTTCCTCCAAAACAATGCTCTCCATGGAATTATATGCCTACGACACCAATACCGGTACCCTTCATGTTTCGTTTGTACTTAAAGTAAAACTTCTCTTCAGCGTCACTGTTGGGACCAGAGTTGTGATGGATAACCTAATATACGAAACAGAAAACTCATAATGCGTATGTAGAGTCACGTGATTTCACTGCATGGTTTCGACGATACTGAGTAGAAATCCTTTAAAAACCAATGTTACATACATATTGCATTGTCAGTCTATATTGCATTCAATTTTTTTGAACGATCAATATAAACTAGAAAATAAGAGTAGTAATGTACAAAAATGTATTGTAATAATTAAACCTGCATTACTTTAAAACAATCTGTCATCTCCTTTTGTGTCTTCCAGGCTTGAGCATACTGCCCTATGATATTCCGTATCTTACACAGAAGTAGCATCTGTGTTACATTTGCATCCTCTTGCATTTCAAACTAGTCTATGCACTTTGATAACATTGTTTCTGCTTTCTCAATGACTAGTTGTAGATTTTTGGCAAATTTTTTTTTAAATTTGGGTGTTCGTTGACGGATAACAGAGACTGATGGTTTAACGAATGACGGTTAATCCAATTGTTACTGTATATTTAAATAGTAGCTACTGTAGGTACTAAGTTCTTCACTAAATAGGTACATTGGCGTTGCTAGTCATTAGTTGATTTGAGTTGAGTCAAGAATTGAAATCACAGCATTCAGGGCATTCCCATGCATGTTCCGTCCTCATCTTCAGCAGCCAGCGCAGAGTTCCAATACTGATGGTACCGGTTACAATCTGGGTAAAAGTCCGTCTTGCCTTTTCTCGGGGAGTAGTCAGCCGGCCAGACCCTCTGGTTATTCCCAGGTGCCTTGTTTTCTCCAGGCCATAAAAATCTTCTTTCTCTACTGATTCTGTCGCTTGTTCCCAAAGGGTCTTGACTACATCTGCCTTGTCATGTATCAATTCACAACCCAATGCTGCGGATCCATCTAATCTGTCGGCATGGCCTAGAGAAATGATCCAAAACATTATCACCACCCGTGACCTTTCCAGGTAATCTAGCCACTCTGCTCAAAGCATCCCTGTCTTCACCTTTTTCAGCATGCTTTCAGAGTTACAATTACGACATGTGTATGCATCTTATTTTCTAGCTACCGGAGAGCTGTAGTTACCTTCACCTCCATTCTCATGCTAGATGTTGTGGTGTCATATGCTAGGCTGTCTTGCACTAAAGATTTTCCATTGGCTTTTGTTACGAACTCTCAGGCACTTCTCTTTCCTCTCAACACTGAATCATTTGTATAGATAATCAGATCACCTGGGCGTAAATTGTCGTGAAACAACTGTTGGACTTTAACCTCCATAGCACCCGCTGGCCACTCTCTGCACACCCGGCCGAATGTTATCATAACCCTACACAGATCAGACTTTCCGGCTGGTACTATGACCCATTCCTTTCCTGGCCCAATGTTCTCCAGCATGCATACTTGTCTTATTGTGTCTTCTGTCTGAGTCATCCACGATTTTTCCCTTTTCAGCCTCTGACCCCCTGTATGCAGCCAATGCTTCATACAGAGGGTGTTCCCTGTCTGCAGCTACTCTGAGGTATGACTTAGCCTGCAGCACCTTTAGCCTATCTGCAATAGTCGGCAGTGCAAGAATGTATCGCATGCACACAATCGGGGTGTCTCTTGTACAACACAGGATCACCCGCATAGCTTCATTCTGTATGCGCGCGTTTCTCTAGCTGACTCTTGGAGACAGTTCCATGTCCACAGCTGCCATAATCTTTAGTGCGTTTAGACTTTTCTGAGTCCGTGTCACAACCCCCTCTACTTGATCCCTGACAGACAAACTTCTGTCAAAGGTGCTTCCCAGGTACCACAGTCTGTTCTCTCTTTTGATGTCACTGCCATTTATTTTGAGTCTGGGAACATCTAAAAATCCTGTTGTCCAAAGAACACAACAGGACGGTTGCCATTTTCTGGGTTAATTACAGCACTCCTCTCCGTCCACCAGTCAATCACCTTATCTACGATTGACTGTAACTCTTTAGCTGTTTGATTCCGATCTCTTTCCCTCCTTTATACAAGAGCATTATCTACAAATGTCAAAATTCTGCCAACTCCAGGTGTTTCCAGGCAGGCAATCTTGCTCGTATAAACATTGAATAGTACAGGTGAAAATGCAGATCCCTGTGATAGTCCTGGAGCTATAATACATGGTTCAGAGGTCCGTAAACCCAGGCTTAAAGCTACCCGGCAGGTATAAAAAGCAGCTGCTATCCAATTCACCAACCAAGAACAGACTCCCTTCTCAATAAGCGCTTTCATCAAGATGCTGTATCTGACTCTGTTGCAAGCGTTTTCTAAATCAAGTACCGCTGCCACGGTTACCTGTCTGTTCTGAAAACCTTTGACAGTATCAAAGGCAAAAGTGGCTGCAGTTGACGATGTATCCTTTCCCGGCTGGTAACTCCCCAATCCTCGTGGAAGGAGATTACTCTGTTCCACAAATTCTTGTAGCTTACCCGCCACTATCTTCTCCAGCACTTTACTAAAGGTGTTTTGTAGGATTTTGATCCTAAAGCCCCCCGAGTGTTGAATGATTCTTTCCAGGCTTAGGAAATGGAATCAGGTAGCTGTGCATCCACTCTTCTGTGACTGAATCTGTCCTAATGCTCTGGTTGAAGCAAGCAGTCATCTCTGACAGGTCTGTATCATGTCTTTCATGTGGGAATATTTAACCCCGTCGGGCCCGGGCGCAGTGTCTTTCGCACTTTTAAGAACACGTTTTACATCTTCCACCTGTATGATGTATTCATAAGGTTTGTTCTTTAAGATGGCTGCCATATCTTCTCTAACTCTATCTCTGTTATCTCCATCATTGAGGTCTGTCAGTGAGATGAACCTCTTCAGGAAAGCCTCACCTTTCTCTTTGTCTGTAGTTAATAACACACCGCCATCTACACGAATTGCTCTAACTATGCTAGGCCGATCTTTCTTGAGCATCTGCCTAAGTAGCTTCCAATACTTTCCCAATGTCTTATCGCTTCCAGTCTCATCAATAAAACGCTCCCATTTTGCTATTTTAGCTTCTGCTGCACAGCGCTTGAAAAACTCTTATCTTATCTTTCTTATCTCTTTCCGTGCACTACAACTCCTCCGGTGAGCTTAGGGCTGTCTGCTGTACTTTCCTTAACTGTAAGCCACAACATGGCGTACAAGTGACTCCTTTTAAAGACGAAGGCAAAAGAAGAATATGTTGATGATGACGATGATGTGTCAATGAAGTAGAACAGTGTCTGCAAGGTTACACTTAAGTTACGATTATTTCGTTTCACTGGCATCGCAGTTTTTCAATCCCCACAATCGGAGGGAGTGTCGGCGGCCCTACTAAGTGTTTCAACTGTAGGTTGTGTTAGTCTGCATTCGGGTTGAAAGTTGGAGACCACTTCGGGATGTCTGGGAATCCACCTGGGGTAAATGTTAAGCGTCGTGTACTCAGTGAGCGGGCGGTGACATGGAAGTTCTGGAAGATCTGGTAGAATTCTACTAACAATCGGAGCTGCAATTTTCGGCAGAGGAACGGTCCACATTCGGCTGCTTGTGGTAATCGCTCCAGTAAACTGGGTTCGATCCCGTAATGTTCCGGACAGTCCGATCTTTGGTCAATACCCAGTGGGAACGTTGGCTTGTGAACATCCTTAGATGGCGGCTCCGTTCTCAACTAAGCCGCTTTGATGTCCAAAATACCTGCTGGAAACGTGTCCATGACAAGAGCAGAGTTAGCTGATGCGGTAGCAGATGACAGTGAATACGACAGCTTATTAAGTCAGTATTAGTTAAGTCAGCCCTCGACCATATAACCTATAACACCTAGATTCCGCACAAGGATCGCGTCACATGTTTCCGGTGACAAGATTTCCTTGACAATCTTGTAAGGGTTTGTCAGAAAATTAAACACTGTTGTCCCGAAGTCAAACTGATCATCTCGTTCAGGTCATCAGAATGCGTTGACCATTAGTGCTAGTCTTATGCTGGTTGATAATGTCTCACACATCTCTGGTGTGCTTTTCGTGCTAATTGCAATAAGCTGTTTGCAATAAGCTGTGCTTGCAATAACCTTGGGTTAGTTGTCTAGGAGATGATGAGTCTAGTAAATGATCTTAGCACACATTCTTAAGATGACATAACTGGGACAAGCCGACACCGGCTCCAAAGTACGATAGAGTTTATTGACATCTCATCACTTACATATATCGTCCCGTCCATGTCCTAATTCACAGCCTACACGCACCACATTATTCAGACGCCAACCCGTTCACTTCTCACACATTCATCGACCAGAGTTCAGCGCCTTCAGTTCCACATGGCCGCATAGATGGATCTGGTCAATGCACCAAGCTTCACACAACTTGGCTTGGCTGGACTTGACTTCGATGGATGTTGTTGTCTGGTCTTCCTCTTGCAACAATCAGTTTCACGTTCTCATTCTCACAAACACTCTCACGTGCTGTCATTCTGACGGTCAACACATACTAACTTGACCAGACTGGGGTCTGGGTTATACCCAGTGTTCGTTCCACATGGCAACACGTGGTTGTTCTTGGGTTCCACGTGGCGACCTGTGGTCGTTCTCCTTGGGTTCCACGTGATAACTCGTGGTCGTCCCCTATCTTGAAAACCTTGGTTAATCTGAGTATCTGGCTTCTCTCGGTATTGTTGTTAATCTTGGGCTTTCCCCCCAACCTTCCCAATCAGGGTGAAAATATCCCCCATTACACTAATCATGATCGTTATGTCCGCATGTCTCTTTCTTGGCAGGAACATGACTCATCCAACCCCAAAGGCCTCAAATTTGCGTCTGCTGTCTAAGGAGTAAACATATATAATTCTACTTCTTGCGACGAGTGAATCAGTAGATGCTTTTTGTTTATTATTAATGCCTCTCGTGGGCTGTTAATTCCAATGTGATCTATACGCTCACCATCTTCGAGTATAGCAGACGCAGCTAATCTATCAAGAATTTAATTGCCAAATGAAAAAGGGATTGATCAGTGATGCCCAAAAAAAAAAAAAAAATATTTTTAAACTGTCATACGATTTTTTATTTTAATGTGCTTTTTATTTTAAAAAAACATTGATCTAACAGTCTAGAAAGTGGTCTCAGGAAACTAGGTTCTCAAAAATTATGTTCATTTTAGCGAAAGCCTTACCCGGGTAAATGCTTTCAAAATATTTTTAGAACCGGTGAAGTGGACACTCTGCCTCACTCTAGGTCACCCACATCTTATAACGTTATCACGACCTATACATTTAAAAGGAAGACTAGTCGGTACAACAGATTCAACCGCTGATGGAACTTGATGATGATAACGATGAAGATGATGATGACGATGATAATGACGATAATGATAGATATGATGATTACAAGGGATGAAATGATGATCTCAATGATGAAGTTGATGATGATGTTGAGAATGATATATATGAGAATGACATTGGATGAGAAGATGATGATGATTATGGTGATTAAAATGACGAGGATAGATAGATAAATAGGCAGACAGACAGACAGACAGACAAACAGACAGATAGACGGAAAGAGGGACAGACAGACAGACAGACAGACAGACAGACAGACAGACAGACAGACAGATAGATAGATAGATAGAAAGATAGATAGATAGATAGATAGATAGATAGATAGATAGATAGATAGATAGATAGATAGATAGATAGATAGATAGATAGATAGATAGATAGATAGATAGATAGATAGATAGATAGATAGATAGATAGATAGATAGATAGATAGATAGATAGATAGATAGATAGATAGATAGATAGATAGATAGATAGATAGATAGATAGATAGATAGATAGATAGATAGATAGATAGATAGATAGATAGATAGATAGATAGATAGATAGATAGATAGATAGATAGATAGATAGATAGATAGATAGATAGATAGATAGATAGATAGATAGATGGATTAGATAGATAGATGGATTAGATAGATAGATAGATAGATAGATAGATAGATAGATAGATAGATAGATAGATAGATAGATAGATAGATAGATAGATAGATAGATAGATAGATAGATAGATAGATAGATAGATAGATAGATAGATAGATAGATAGATAGATAGATAGATAGATAGATAGATAGATAGATAGATAGATAGATAGATAGATAGATAGATGTTACCATGCACGCCGCCAAAAACCCCTGACCTCTAAAAGGAAATCTTCCTCAAAGACACATCAGCTTCCAGCGACATGCACCACACGTGGTACGACACAGGTCACATCAGTGTCCTACATTTCGTACACACGCTGACCCCAAATTTAGAAACAATCACTGACTATGACCACAGATAAAAACTTAAGTGTGATTTAGCAGTTCTACTGTTGTCCGATACTTTTGCGTTAAAAGTGCACGATTTGTGGGTCATTGGTTTATTTGTTACATTCCCATTTTTGTTAAAATGTATTTCTTATCATCAAGCAAATTTTTAATTTAAATTAATTTTCAACGGTTATAACTCACGAAGTCGGGCCAAGAAAGAGAAGTACTTTCCTTGCCATTCGTTTCTGGTGGTGTACCAGGGCCTGTCCTATGTTATGGGGGTGCCTGCTAAGTCTGCGTCCAGGAAAACAGCGTTTTTTATTAGTTGTCAGCAGTCGGCGATATCGTCTGTACTATATTCACGAAGTGAATGCTTTTAACCGTCCAAAAACATCAAGTACTGGCCTTAAACCAATCCTCCCCTCCCCCTTACGCCACAGGCTCAGCCTACATCCCACGAGAGTGTGAAGCCTACG